TTTTTTTTTTTTTTTTTTTTCAATTACACGATTGTTTACAATGTTTCTTAACAATTATATACAAGTTTTTTTTTTCTTTTTTTTAACGTGTATCGCTCCACCAATACTTTTTTATGTTTTTACGGTGTGAATCGAATTCACCGTTAGATCATGACTTTACTTGAAAATTATTAAAAATAAATGTATAAAACTATTTGTAATTATAAAAAATAAATGTAATAAAACTTTAATCGTAAATATTTCAAAAATTATTGAGTAGTTGCAGTTATAATTAAATATATTCTTGAACTGCATGACGAAATCTGTACACCTGTAAAGTTGCAACTAAATCGTTGACCCGAAGTACTTGCACTCTCCTTGTAGTACATGCACATATTCCTCCTTGTATTATTCACTCGAGGTCTTCTTTTATTTTCATTGCTACTACAATCTCCTGTCATTCCCACCATTTACAGATTCATTCATCATACACCTTCAAATAATTATTAATAACAAACTTTAAATAATTATTAACAACAGCATCAAGTTACTCACGAAAAGTGCTTAAGAATATTGCATACAGTTCCAGTTTTGCAAAAAAACTGCAAAAATCTATGAATTAATTACAGGAGCTTGGTAATTTATTAATTGTCCACTACCGATTTGATATATTAAAATATATTAGATGCACATAAACAGAACAGGTGACCAATTCTAATACCAGTGTCTTCGATCAGCGTCAGCTATGATTTTGGACCCGAAGGAGATCGTCTAAACCGTCATATCATTTTGGATCACATTCTACTTTTCGTTTATTTTAGTTCATAATTAAATATTTTGATTGACTATTATGCTCGTCGTTGTCAAATAACCATCACCGTCAAATAATGATTAATATCTAACTAATTAACATCAAACTGTGTGAAAACATTCTTATGCGAAAATTGCATAAGAATGTCGCTCAACGTTTCAGCGTTACGATGCAAATATAAAAGTTCATAAATTGATCATAAAAATTGAGTAATTTGTTAATTTTCCATTGCCGAATTATTTTATTAGGATGTAAAAGAAAGTTTGTTAAAAAGAAAATTATTACTTGTATCTTGTATTTTACCGAGGTGTCTTGTTTAAATACACGGTTTAATCAAAATTTATCGATTCATTTTCGCGAGCATTTTTAAGAAAGAGACACGAACGAATGCAACAACTGTATCTAGATGTTCCAATTACGCTATCTTAGGAAACAGGTGCAAGGTACCGGCTAGAGATATACACACATTTTACGGCCTGAAAGTCAAGGCTACGCTCGAAGGGTAAACTTAAAAAGGAGCTACATTTGCTGGCGCACATCCAACTGGAGCAACGATTATTTTCTTTGCCTGCGAGGCGATGGAGGTCGCTGCGCCATTCTAAACATGTATTGTGTCTAATCCCGCCGAGGCATGTGCACGAATCATTTTTCTTCCGGCGTCCACTACAATTAACTTCTTTTTTCCTCGACGTCAATTTTTCCTAACGAATTCCTGATTGCTAGGGAAAATTTTGCGCCTAGGTATAGCGCACACTAGTGATAAATTAGTCCTGTCAAATGCAGAGATCTATGGATTTTAAAGAGTAATAACGAAGGAATTTTTAATTATCGATTTGGGCTTTAATTTTCTTTATTTTCCACATTAATTTTACAAGTTACTAGATTTGCTGTAAATTCAAAGATGAGTAATATGTATAATATAATGAACAATATAATTGGAAACGTGGAAAAATAGTTTTTGAAATTTTATTACTTCTGAATTTTTTTATTATCTTGACAGAAAGATGTTTATAATTAATTTTGTATGGTTGTACATTAATATTTGTGCCTGGACTGATTTTATATACGTAACATATAATAAGTTTGCAATGTTTTCTTTTCTTATACTATTTGACTATTAATTATGACACAAAGATTCATTAAATGAATAGTATTATAAAATTTAATAATACAAAATAATAAATAAAATAATATATCGTTTTACAAATTATCTTAATAAAATATTTGGTAATATATATTTCAAGCCAATTATATTCCTTTAGTTCGTTTCAAATAATTATGATTATTCGTATACATTGTCGTAGTATATTAATTTTATATCAGATTCAAACCCTTATTTCTTAACGAAATAAAACAAACGTAATCAATCTACCAACCTCCGGGTAAAATAATCACAAAATAGAATAAAATATTAAATCTATACTACGCATTATATATAATTATTACCTTTGTTATTAATCATTTCACTTAATTCATGTTCATTTTCTGCACAAAAAATATTTTTCTCACAGGACCGTGCAATTGGTACAGATGCATCGATCACCGAGACGCGAGGTTTCGTTAATCGAGCGCGAGGTGGTGCCACTGGCGTATATTTGTACACAATCAGCCAGTTTGATGGCGGGAGGGCGCTACTTGCGATCGGGTGTACAAGGGTTCGTGAACGAAATTGGCCCTCTTCGTGAATCCAGCCGAATACGTTTCTATCGTGTAACGTGAGGGACAACACGCGAAAAGTGTTTCGTACGTTGATTCGCGGGCTTGGCGACAATGTCGTCAAGAAAGCGACGCTCTACGTTCATCTAAAGATCGTCGATGTACTCTCTCGTCGCTGACCTGGAGACCGGCGACAGAAGCCATGCCGCAGCACAACCCCTGCCACAAGAGGCTGATGATAATGACAGCGACGAATCGTCATCGTCTTGTCAGCTAGGGAACGCCGACAGCAAGTAAGTAAGTAGATGAACATCATGTTTCCCGCCGTGTACTCTCTTCTGTCATATATATCTGTTCTATTTCGACAAGTTCGTGGTCGATAATATTTCTCTGTCTGAATATATTCACTTATTAATACATGCATTTTTCACCATTCGAGACAGTTTCATCGCAGTGAAGTGCCAGTCGGTAACGAAAATTCATACGTATATATGCTACCTACGAATCATGGTTATGCATTGGCTTAGATGACTAGCGTGTTAATGATTGCAAGAAACTGGTTACGCTGCTATTGTGTAACACGATTGTCTAAAACAAAGGTATCGACGCAGCAATTCTTGCTTAAGGAGTGGTGAAGAGGGAAAAATTAGAATAATAGAGAGAGATTGGATAGTTCGTGTGTCAACATATGTACGTTCCTTGTATATACAAACGTGAGGCGCTCAATATACGGATCAGCTTGCTTTTCGCGTGCATTATCGCGTGGTTGTATCGTTCGTCTACTCTGGCATGTTTGCGCAGCGGAACTATTCCCGACGAAGGATTGTGCAGCTGAAATATCGTTTCACGAGCAGCTACGACGAGTCTTTTGTCACTGCTGCCAGGTGACTGGAACGAACAGAGGTCACTGACCGGTGAACTCTGACCGAACATGACGTCACTGATTGTAGGCTCTATCTAGGGAGTTTATTTTTGTGTCACTGTATGTGGCAGTACATCCCACTGGTGTATCTGTGGCCTTTAATCCTTACGTATTCCACCGTCATACCTATTGCGTCAAGTACACCTGCGTCTTTCTGACGAGTTTCAAGCAGTGAATGAGTTAATTCATGGTTTAGACAGCGGGCTCGTCATTGCTTCATATTGATCTATAATTTTAATCGTCGTTGCAACGCTGCCAGTAGATAGACGATTGTCTGGACCATCGATTATGGAGTCAACGTTGATGAAACCCTAATTGGAACAAGCAAGAATAACTAGGATGGAAATAACTGATTGATACAATTCAGATGTTGAAGTGCAGGATTAATTAGTACATGTGACATAAACAGTTGAAATATATTGGCTTACGTCATAATGATTTCATATTTTATGAATTAAATATAATTGATATTGTATCTATAATACATATCATTTTATATTTATTGAAGTCAGTTGTTTCTAGGGGGGATTATTAAAATAGGAAATAGTATAATTGTTTAAATAACAAATTGTATTTATTCTTTATGTATTATGATTCAAATAGTATTAGGTGCATCAGCATTAGTTAAAGAGAACTGGTATTAATTATTTTGAATGTAGTTAAAAATTACAAAATGAGAGAAAATGTTGAGAGAAAAGTCAAAATTATTAATGATGTAATAGAAGATATTATACATTATATTTATGGTTAGGTTAGGCTTTTTTATTTGTCAATGCAACTTTATTGTTAAAATTGTCGACAACTGAGTACAATTACAACATTTATTTTCACTAATCGTAGATAAATTTAGTTTCATTTATATGAATTTTATATTTGGGATTTACATAAAGGTCATATTACAAGAATTTTTATTTGCATATGAAATTTATATATACCTTACAGATGTGTAGCAAAACAATATCAAAAATTGCTTTACTATTAAAATAAATGTAAATTTTTAAAAGATTTTTTATTATTGAAATAAAAAATAATACATGTATTACAATTAAATATTTCATATCACAGTTTCAGAAATTTATCAATTTAATGAAACTTTACAAATTAAAATTTAGTAAAATCTAGAACACTCAGCTAATAGTTGTGACTAATTGCAACTTTTTTTTTTATATATTGATCACACTATAAGCTAAGAAATGAAAGTAAAATATAATGATTTGATTAACATTTTTTCATCAATAATTTAATTAGTTTTTGCAAGTATTTAGTTTCTTTATCATTTAGAATAATTTAAAATATGAAAATTATCTGGAGGATATTAAATAATCATATACAAATAATTTTTAGTTGCTGGTTTTTACTTGATCTTAAAGTCTTAAATATTCGTTACGTAGTACATTTATTTTTTTATAGTAATTTATTCTACAGTCCAGTAGAGTGTATAAATAGTATTAAAATAATTATTTAAAATGTAAATTTATATATATTCAAAAAGGTACAATTATTTTTTATTTTAAATATAAAATAGATATTTTAATTTTTAACTAACAATAAGTTTTCAATTTTGGAATTAAAGATTAATTTTTATGATTCATATTTTTGTCGTTTTATAAGAGTATAAAATCATAAAAGTAAACAATTTGCAATATTAGATTTCTAACCACACTTATTATTTTAGCAATAAATTCGATACCCATTTTTCCTAATTGCAGAAAGTGTTATTTTCTTCGTTATTATCTATAAATTTCACAATTTGAATCGTCTCATAAATTCTAATAAATTGCTGACTCAAAAATAATATATACATGGATATTTTAAAGAAGAAAATCGTAATTCTTTATGCCTTTCACTTTTCATCTCTCAAGATAGTCAGTAAATCAGTCATGTACTTCAGTGAATTGTAATTTATGCTGTATTGCTGCAAGTTGGCCAGGAAAATACGTTAAGGTCAATTTTTTTTAATATTTTCGTTTTTGTAACATGTTTTATGCATAGCAAATAAGAATGAACAGGAAATAAATGTTCTTAGAAAATGAATAAAATATCATGACCTGAGATGTTAAAACGAATATGCATTTTAAATTTTAGTGATAAATAGGCAAAACTTTATTTGTTTAATTCTAAGCATATCAAAATATTTGCGAACTTTTTTTGAGTCGTATTAAAAGGTTTTAATTGATTAATGATTTCTTAACAATTTTCTATTGGAACTGGAGTATGAAAGAATTATTAATTTTTATTAACTTCTTCTTTATTTATTTAGGAAGGAAATTACATTTTTAATATGTATTGCAGTAAAAGTAATACGTATACTTTAAAGAAAATAATTATTAGATCAAATATCATTTTTAACTCGATTTAAGATAGTTTTACAAAATTACAAAGTTTCTTTACTTGAAATTACATTATGGCATATGACATGAATTCAGAATGATTATACGTGGATGTTTTTAATAGCGTCTTGATACGAAAAAATAGTCTCTTCTATAAAATTACAGATAATGGAAAATGTAATGGATGGTGAAAGGTAAATTTAAGGAGTAAAGTGCATGCTGTAGAATTTCATATTTGGCTTCATTCAATTTTTACACTATTAAACGTAGCTGTTGCCGAGCAGTGACCGAGAGGAGAATAGAGGTTTTCTGTTAAGCAAAGTTCATTATTTTTAGGTCAGTGAAAGAACAAAAAAAAGTAGCTTTTAATTCAACGTAAAAAGATTGTTACAAACACATAATAGCGTTTTATACTGCTATTTATTATACTGCTATATCTATTTCAAGATTATCAATACTATAGTATTACTATGAATATTCAACTATTTACGTATAACAAGATTGAATAAAAAAAAAAATTGATCCGTTGCTATGAAAAGTCTCATTGAACCATTTGAAAGGTATTACAGGGCCCTGAAATACAAGCAATATGTTCCCATTATCGATAATAGTTTCGGAGAAAATATCTCGTAGTAGTTCCCATGGACCACCCTGTGTAGCTCATCTGTTATCAGTTAGTGGTAGAAAATTTACGAGCGAACGTATAAAACCTGAAACAAAGGAAAGTGAAAATAATCGTAGTAAACGTCATGGTGTTTGAGAAATCGTTAAGAGCAACACACCGCGCCGCCTGGCGACGAATCAAGAAATAATTCGTTACAACCGTGACGTCAGAGAGCTATTTGGACCCGGAGGTGCAACAGTTTTCACCGCGAATTTGCTACTAGGTTATGTTTCCCAGCCGTAAAAATTGCTTTATATTCGCGGTCGGTTAAAAAAGTAGGATGCTGCTTTGTATCGGTAACGATGACCTCCATGCATATTTGTAATTTCCTCGAAGCGTGTTCATCTCATAGCCACGTATCTCATTCACGGCGTTCCGGCGTGTCTATCGGTTTCCTGTGTGGAAAACCGAGAATCACGCAGCTCCGTTCTATCGATCTGCAGCAGCCAGGAGTTCTCCGTCTCCTTCTGCCCCTTGTTCCTTCACCTCCCTCTCCGTGGCTACTACTTGTCTCTCTCTATCTCCCAGCGATCATTTGCTCACTCATTCATGTTCTCTCACTCGTCTTCTTTCCTTGTCCTTTACTTGCTCCTTTTCATTCCAGTTTTTCCGTCTTTATCTAATTTCTTTCTTCATCTTCTACACAGTCGATCTCCTTCCATCTGCGCTGTCTCGCGTCCGCCCATCCTATATATACGTTTCCTACCTCCTCGACCTTCCTTTCAGTTCCCCCCCTCCACCTGTCACGGCTCCACATCTTTCTGCCTTCGAGCGATGCCTCTCTGTCCTAAGCTGTCCGTCTCTTTTCATTATCTGTCTTTTTCTTCCTTGCACTCTCCACCGACTACTCTCTCTGTCCTTCTAACGGTCTGTCCTCCAGCGGAATATCCTAACGCGGCAAGCGAGGAACAGTTCTTCTACCTTCGTTTCTCCGTCACTTTGCAAAGCTTCAGAGAATTGGATAGGACTGTTGGGTGGAAGGTAAGGGTTGAGAGGTGTACAGGTGAAATCAACCCTTTTGAGTTGTTGCGTTTTATTCTTCGTGACGAATCCTGCATTTTCGCGGATGTTTAAAAATATATGTCTCCAAATATCGTCGTGTGATTAAAAAGATCGCACGTATTGCTTTGGAGGGAAACTCGGGACGCTTTACGGTAGCGATTAATTGGAATATCTGCGGGAACTGCAGCGATGCATTTTAGTCAGTCGTGTAAACGCTGAATTTTTCATGCGTTTAATGAGCATCAAGTGCATCGCGTAAGCATCTATTTCTTTTGTAATAAAAGGATCATAAAATAAGAATGTATTGGTAGAATACAAGAGATAAATTGGTATACATGTAAATTCATATTTCCTATGTTTGTTACAATTTTTTTG